TCTTTCCGTGGGGCAGCTGAGTGTCTTTGGGAATTTACTACTTTGCATACTCCCACGGTTCTTTGTCCGGAACCCCTGGTACTATGCAAAATTATGCCTCATGCCCTCTTCTGCTCACTGCTGCTTTAACCACTAACCACATTTCAGATCCATTCAGAAGCAGGAAGCTTTGTGAAACATGGTGTGTGCTGAGTGTGGGTGGAGGAAATGCATTATTTAATTTAATGAATGAGCATGCTGGGTTTTAGCTCATGGTCAAGGAAAATTTCACCTGCAGTAAGATGTCTGAGCTAGGATCTGCACACTGTAGGAGGCATGGACACCAGCTGAGCCGTGCTGGGCACCCTGAGCTGATCCCAGCCACAGCCTTCATGTGGGGGTCCACAGAGGTCAGCCTGCAACTTCATACAGCTTGCAAGCTCAAAATGACTTCTGCATTTTAAAAGAATTGTGAGAAACTTAAAAATCAAGATTTTGTTGTTGACTACATGTGACCCACAAAGACTGAAATGTTTACTACGTGTCCCCTTCTAGGAAAAGCTTGCCAATCCCTGACTTCAGTTATCATGAGCAAGAGGGGAAACCCGTCACCAGCTTAGTGACATAAATATCATCGACTTTAGACATTTGACCATGTGCTACCTGGCAGCAGGTAACAAGCCCACCCTGGAAGCCCTTGCCACGCCCCGTGTAGGGTCAGAGTTCTTTGTACCAGGCACCTATTTCCACCTGGTGCTCTTGTAAGGGTTTCATGCCGACACTCTCATTTAATCCTTCAAGCAAAACGGGTGGGGTGTTATTGGCCTCTCCACTGACAGGCGGAAAAGTGAAACCTGTGCAGGGCACATGGTCCGGCAGTGCACAGTCCAGCAGTGCTGGGTGGGAAGGGTCCATCCCAACCTTGTGAGTCAGGATTGCCATTTCCACGACCATCTATTCAACTCGAATCCCATAATAACGAGAAAGGTTGATTTGATTAAGGGGAAGTAGGATACACCTCACTTCATAATATGATTAAAGGGATTTAGCAAGTTTGGGCTCCAGGGACTATGTGGATTCACATCCTGGTCATTTAGAGCATGAGTGACGTAATGCCTACAACCTGTCTGTACACGCACACACATACGCATACACGCACACACATGCATACACGCACACACATGCATACATGCTCACACACATGCATACACACACACACACACACACACACACACACACCATGGGATATGACATTTAGAAATTCTAGAAATTTCTATTAATTGAATTTATATTTAAATCGAAAGTTCCAGAAATATTGAGATATTATGAAGACACAGAAGATCGACAATTTCATAGAGACAAATGAATGTGTATATGAAAATTAGGCTAAAGTCATAATTACCTATGATTGGTGCACTCATAAGAAGCATGTGTAAGACTTATAAAATACTTCCTTTACCCCAGGACTCAGACACAGTCTCCCAGCACTTGATAATAACATTTTTATTGTCAAGGTATCATGGAGATAAATCAGAGGCCTGGGTTCAAACTTCGTCTCAGGCAACTTGTCATTGTACTTTTTGGTTAAAGGTCATCCTTGGACACTGAGGACTATAAAGATTAAAGAGATATGCAAGCAGACCCACGTGAATCACGTCTCTATCCACCATCTCTTCAGCTCCCCCACCTCCTTCAAAACAGGGTGTGATAGCAGAGAATGCTTTTCCCTGTCTATCTTAAAGGTCTGACTTTAAAACAGAAGCTCTACGTGCACTTTCTGAGACAGATCATTTTTCTTACCCTCATTGCCTGCAGAAATGCCAGCAAAGCATAAATAAACAATAGACAGAGGCAATGCCAAGCTGAAGCTCTGGCTTATCCAGGGTTCTGAGAAGCAGAGCTTCAAAATAAATAGCTACTCGGGAATCGCTCTGTCTTCACCAGGCGCAGCTTGAAAGCGTGTGCTGCGATGCCCCCGTTTAACTGCATCCTTGAGATAATGCAGACATTTCAGTTCCAGTTCAGCCTCCTCCTCTAGATGAATGAGATTAGTGCACTGATAATGAAATAGCTGCTTGGCAGAGTCTCTTGCTTCAAGGCAGGAAATGAAGCCTGCAGGACAGGAGATATGCCTGGCTTTGCAGAGGAGGACAGAAACCAAGGCGGCTTTGCTGAAAGCAATAACTTAAAAGGTCAACAAAGTGAGAAAAACATCCTGGAGTTCTCTGAAACCAATAAATGGATCCGGCCTGATGACCAGTGGCCAGCCCCTTTGATCTGCAAGCTAACTTCAAGTCTCCAGGGTTCTCTGGAGGAAGCACTGCCCCAGCTCTGCACCCTGAGCTCACCACCCCCAACTTCTGCAGCAGGAGCCTCATGGGTCCCAATCCAAGCCTGATGGAAACAGCTACCATTCATGTAGAATTTGAATGGCAGGAAACAGGGAGGGGGGTGGGGCTGAGCAGCTGTGACCTTCACTTCTGCCCTCCAGCTCCAAACGTGAACAGTTGGCTCACAAAATTCTGGCTTCTCCAAGTCCTCTGCCAAAAATTGTCAGTGAAAACAGAAGAGAACAAAACAGATTCTGACACTAGATCAGAATCTTTAAGAAAAAAGATGCTGGGTACATTAAACTAATTTAAGCTGCCTCTCCTTTCTCAGGGTTTAAAGAACTCCGGGGTCTCTGTGCATGAGACCCCCAGGAGCCGCTGCCCAGGAGCTCCCGTGGAAGGCCAGTGGCTAACACTGCACAAATGGCTCTCCTTTCAGAGAGTACTGCAGCAACGGCTCCTGACCCTTCAGGTGAAACGTAGATCAAGTCTGAGGACTCTTCAGGCCTTCACACGCCCATTCCATGAAGGAGCAAAGTATGCTACTGAACTCTATTCTATTTACATATTACAAACTCCTTGATGATGATGACCTGTCTAGGTAATCAGTTTTACTACTTAAAATTCTAATTTTATTTTTTAAAAGAAAAAATGCTTAATTGTACTACATAATTAAAACAATCCAAAAATTCTGATTTCTATTCTACTTTTTTTTGCTTTAAACATTATATCATACATGATAAAATATTTTTTATATGACCACAGGTAACATGCTACTTACACGAATTGTACACATCTAAGGGAGGATCTGAAAGACTCCTGCAGTGACTAAACTGAAGTGTCCGTGACATGGCCCACTCCAGATGGTACCTGCTGCCTGACACTTGACTGAAACCTGCCCAGGGGGCAGGATGGGATTTCAGAACCACACTGACCATCAGCACGCCTGTTAACTTCATGCCCTTCCGCCTAAACAGATAGATTAAGTGGAACTGGATGGTTTTTAAGGTCCCTCCATGTCTTAAAGGTCAAAATTTATGAAGAGAACAAAATCATATTGACTTCCTGTTTACGTGAAAGCATGGCAAACCCCAGGAAGGTGATTCTCAGGTGCCAAACCTCGAGATCAGATCACAGGGGCCGTGGATCTTCAAGGAGCCATCTGAGGGGCAACATCCTCACTTCCTTTCAGCAGGCGCTCTGTGACGGGTCCCAACCTGGAGGCCAGTGCTTCTGGGCAGTGCTCAGCACAGTGGAGATGCGTGGCTCACAGCCACTGGGTCTGGCCCCCGACTGAGAACTCCAGAGGGCTTGGTGCCAGCACACGCCCATTCCCAGCCATGAACTCCACACTGAGTAGCTCTAGGCAGGTRTATGGGGTGGAAGCCCACCAGCAAGCCTCCGGCCATCCTGGGCTCCTCCTTCTCATGGAGAAGCCAGCCGCGTCCCATCTTGCCCCRGATCTCCAGAGCCCCAGAGCTCCTCCCTGGTGGGAAGGTAGACTCCCGCTGGCCAGACACACCTTTCAGGGCACCCCTCGCCCAGTGCAAGCCCCTGCAGAACCTCTGGGCTCCACCCTGAGCACACGTATCTGGACTCAGGTTGACACGGCCCTGCAGGACTTGATCCTGGGGGTCTTCTACAATCCCTCTTTGGAGTCATGCTGCTGTGGGGGTCATTACTTTGCCCCTGGCACTCTGTTCCCAGTGCCAACAGGATACAGAGCACCAGGCACCCACCTTTTCAGCAATAGGTTCCATGTCAGAGAGTCATAAAATATTTAAAGCTGATAAGAAGTGGACCTTCTTCCAAAATAAAAAGTGCTTTCTTAAAAAAAAAAAAAAAGCATCATTCCTAATGAGACAAACTTCCTGAGTCTATATTTATGCTTATATTACATTGAAAAAGAATTTCTGGATGTAAACCCTAAATAACACAGCTAAGCATCTGATCACTTTCCATGGGTCACACATACAGGAGCCATACACATCTGTCACTGTCACAGAGCAGCGCCAGGAATTCCACCATTTCACAAGGAAGAGACCCCGGGAGCCCATGAAAGCCCAGCACGGGGCAGGACCAGCTCTCAAAGGCTCATCTATTTCATTAGGAATGCAAACCTTGTAAGAAGAAGCTATGAAAATGTCATTACTTCAAACCCTTCCATCCAAAGTAAAATTCTTTGAAAACTTGGTTTTTATGCATATGATAGACAAAATGAAAAAAAAAATCCAAAAAGCATGAAATACTGAAATCAGTGTTAGCAAGCCCTAGATTTAAGTGGCCCAAAGAGAATCAAACATAAAGCTGACAACTCAAAGGAGCATTTAAACTAAAACAAGGAGAAGGGTTTTCAGTAAAGGACTACTTTAACTAATACAGTGGTCAAGAAAATGTATTGTGAATCTTAATGGGACGACACATTCTTCGATTTCACAATGAAGTGAGGATTAAATAACTGCTCAGAATCCAGAGTGTTCATTCTCTGAATTCAGGCTGTTGTGCTAAGCCACGCCTCCTGGAGCACCGGGCGTCTGCCCAGCAAGTGCCAAGCTGCATGTTTGCTGCTAGAAGGCCACCTTCAGAGTCTCCTCACCTCGTAGCCCAGCTAATGCTCCACTCACGTTTAGAGCATGACTAAAATAGAACATGGACAGACCTCAAGGTTGGGGAGGGAAGCACGTTCCTTACCCTGGCAGAGGGGCATGAGGGCATCCCACTGATACATGCCAGCCGGGTTCCGCCTGCAGGTGGCATTGCTGTGGCCAACCATTCGATATCCAGGCTTGCAAAAGTAATGCACTTTGCTTCCAACAGCTCCCGAGGTCCTGTTTAAAACACCGCCGTTCTTCAGCGTGGAGGTCAGGCTGCAGTAAGGGGCTGAGGGCATGCAAACACAGATAAGTCAGTCACACACTAGCTCTGACGACACCATCTCCCTGGGCCAGAGAGATACAGAGGAAAAATCTCCAGTTTTTTAAAACTGGGCCATGCACACCAACACGTGAAGTGATTCTAAAAGGCATCCTCAAAATCTAGAGCCAAGAGCCTGTCCCTGGTTCTGAGTTCAGGTTCAGACCTGTGGCCATCTGGCTCTAGTGAGTTCTGGGCAGCAGGCCCCAGGGCCCCAGGAATCACTAAGAACAGGAACATGGAGCACGTGTGCTGGAGGCTCATGGAGCACGTGTGCTGGAGGCTCCCGGCTGCTTGGGAGGCAGAGGTTTTAAAGGCCCGCATCCCTGGGGGACTCTGAACGTCACCTCACAACCTTTCTTAGAAATGGTCAGAGGGCCATCAGGGTCTGCCCAGGAGCACAGTGAGCATCTGGCCCTGGTGGTCAGCAATGTTTCCACAAGAGGCACCCCAGACAACTGTTCCCAACTGGGTCTGCTGTGGGACATTTCAAGTCTTTACAACAGCCTGGTTTGGTTGAGGAAAACCCGCTGGCCACTGTGGGAATCCTCCATGGCCACTGTGGGCCCCTCTGCCCCCTGCTCCACCACCCATGCAGCTCCTATTTTCAGCTGGTTTAGGCTGAGCTCTTACTCTGGGTGAATCAGCACATTTGGTTCAGAGAAGCACCAGGCACTCTGACCTCTGACCTCCAGAGTCACCGGGTGGTGAAAAAGGGGAGGAAAACAGGGAGGCTGCCTTGACTGCAGGCCCACTCTCAGGTCAGACATGAGCGAAGAGTGGGACACCTTGAAGGGACCTGGGAACATGAGGCCGTGGGGGTCAGCAGCGTGGAGGGCTTCGCCCAGCCTGCCAAGGATGCGATTTGCAGTGATGGTCTAACTGTGTTTTGGGGGCTGCCCTCCTGTGCTCTTCCTCTACCACCAGGCTCTCTGGGGATTTCAACCTGGTTTCCTACCAAGGTGATCAGTATACTGTGCTTGTGGCCAAATGACTGACAGCTCACCTCTGTAAGGCGAACACAGGCTGGGGACACGATGCATGGTTACAGGGCCATGTTACAGGGCTGGGCTCCTGAGACCACGTCTAGATGTTTCAGGGATACTTTCATTTAATCCCTTATTGAAAATTACTGGGGGCTAACATTTAGCAGAGTTCCTGGAACCTCTAAGGAGTGCAAAGCTCTGTGCATTCCGTGTGTTTCACCCCTCACAGGCATTTGGCTCTAACAGGCACAGGTCCAAGGGCTGGAGTGCAACCTTACAGCCACCTTCTCCTAATGCAGGGGATAAGAGGACCTTCTTGTTCAATGAGTGGAAATCCCCTCCTAAGGGTGGAAAACATTGTTAGAACAAGATGGATTCCATTCACAGTGATTCCTGCACTGACCATCTGTGCACAAGGGACGTGTATTCAAGGCTTGAGAGCCTGATGATTCGTCTGTTCTTCAGACAAAGGTTCTGATGGAGGCACACACAACCACTGCTCCAGCTTTTGTAACCACAGTTTGTGTGCATTTCACTACACGTTCCCAGGAAGACCACCTGAGCCCCAGGCCAGTTGAGCCTGCTGCAGGTTTGCTGCCCCTTAAGCATTAGGAGGGCCCCAGCCAGGGAGCCAGGGCCCCTCCCTCTGGCCTTCTTCCTATGTCCTGTGGGGGTCCTCCCCCTGAGATGGGAGCTGCCACAGTGGGACTGTGCCTGGGCACTGGGCACTTAACAGCAGCCCAGCAGCTCTCCAGGTGCATCTCACAGGTGACCACAGGTGCAGGTGGTGAGGTACCGTGAAGGATCTAGACGTTTGTGCCTGTAACTGCCATGTCCTCAGGAATTTAGATCGTCCCCCAGTTGCTTCTGTAGGGCAGTGCCAACACTGGTGTGGTCAAATCAGATTAAGGATTGTGCACAGGATTTAATATTCCCTAAATGTACTGGCCAATATGATTATTTACTGATTAACCAGTTAATTTAACAAATACACATAATTACTGACAGAATGATTAAAGTACATAAAGGACAGGCAAGACAATTCACACTGTGAAGGGAAGGCTTACATGAAACACTTATTAGACACACATGTGGGTGTGGCACACAAGCACACACATGGGTGTATCATATGTGAAGACAAATATGCATAGGTCAAATGACGTGTTCACTAGTAAAAGATTATTATTATTATTGCACAATTTATAGCAATGCAACAACATCCTGTTTGTTCCCCGAATGTTTAAACACATTTTAATGTTAGTTTCAATGATATTATTTCAACTTTTGAGAAATATCTTTGCTGCCTTCAACATGTAATTCAATGGTTAATCATTTTCATAATAAATTTTAAACAAATTGCCAATGTGGCTTGGAGAAACCACTCTGAGGAATTTCCCGTCATGCTTTCTTTTGCAGTTCATTATTAATGGTCAGAAATCAGATTATTAATGGACTCTCAGTCCAGTTTTTCAGTTTAATGGAGATCACTTTGCTACACTCATCACCAAGTCCGAGCCAGTTACCCACCTGTGTAGCGGATCCGGAATCCCTTCTTGCTGGTGGCGTGGTCGGTGGACCAGCGCAGGTACAACTGGTGGCTCCTGCTGGTGAAATTTGTTGGCTCTGTATGGTTCCCGCTCAAGACCACTAACAGAGGGCTCTGCCCAGACGGCCCTAGAGGGGACGGAACACAGAGCTGAGGTGTGGATCAGCACCCACCAAGGGCAGGCTACTTTAGGCCCTTGATTAAACTGGTGTCTATGAGGACAACGTGTGGCTATTGATTTTCAAAGTGGGATAAGAATCCCAAATGATAACATCAGTAAGAATTCCCTAATGAAAATAGGACCACCTAGGAAAAAAGGTGTACCTGTTAGTAAAGACATAGTATCTCAATGAAAGGTGTCCACGAGACAGCAGCAACTGCAGAATTGGAAGTGATTTTGATTTTTGTTAGTATTAGAATGTACAGTGTGTGTGGATATGAGAACCTGGAAACCCTCCTGCAGCACTAGTGAGGGCTAAGCTAGAACAACCACTGTGAGGAGCAATTTGGCAATATCCAGGGAGATGGGGATAATTTTATTTCTATATATCTAGCAGATATATATATATATATATATATATATATATATATATATATGTAAGTTATTCATATAGCACTAATGTATATTCCAACATCACTTCTCATGATAATCCTTGGATCCCAACTAAGAGTTTAGAATTTTAAGAGAGGATATTGAAAATGTCATAAAAATAAATTAAATCATACAGCATCTAAAATTAATAAAGTTGATGTACATGTTATCAGCGTAGGTAATTCTAAGAATGGTATATTTATGTCTAAGAATATTCACTTGCAGATAAATATTTTTGCATCTGTGTAAAAGTACAAAGTCACACAATCTATAGAGTTTAGTGTGGTGTGTGAGTGTGTGTCTGTGTGTGATTGATGGAAGATGGATAGAAGGAGCTAGATAGAGAAATAGGTGGGTGGTAGACAGATGGCCCACACTGGCAATCCCAGCAACTCTGGAGGTTAAGGAAGGAAGATTGCAAGTTCGAGGCCAGCCTCAATTTATTAAGGTCTTTAGCAATTTAGTGAGACCCTGCCTCAAAATCAAAATCAAAAAAGGACTAAGGATGTATCTCAGTGGTAGAGTACCCCTGGGCTCAATTCCCAGTACAAACAAACAAAAATTCTGATAGATAATGGATAGATGATAGATGATGAACGGATATATAAGAAATAAAAAAGTTGCATCTTTTTATTTATTTGAAAATGCCCCCCCCAAATACGTGAAACGTTAGTTAATTTTAAGTATACAGTTAAGGAGAGCGAGTGCCAGGCGGAGCCAGCTAGCCTCAGTCTCAGCACCCAGATGGGCACTCTGATGGGAGAGGTGCCTGTGGAGATGGAAGCCGCACTCTCCTGGGGGCCTGGGACCCCAGCACCAGCTCCCAAATCTCTGCCGCCTTCTCTCCACGCCCCCGGATCACTCAGGAGCCATGCTGTGGAGAGGGAGAGCCCCCGGCTCACTCAGGAACCACACTACGGAGAGGGAGAACCGCTCATTGCAATCTATGATGCCCGTGTCAACAGGCTGATGGACACCTGTCTGCGAGAGTCACACACTGAGACTTTATTCGTGCAGGAAGGTGATGAGAAATCACAACTTCACTGTGGGTTTTCTAGGTTGCTCAAGGTCTCCATAAGTTGCTGAGGCTGGCTTTGAACCCATGATCCTCCTGCCTCACAGCCTCCTGAGCTGCTGGGATTATGGGCATGCGCCACGGCACCTGGCCCAGATGGACCAATTGTGTTCACTCCAATCCCATGTTCAAGTCCTATTCCCAGCACCTCAGAAAGTGATTGTATCTAGATGTACAGGTAATTGGAACTGGGTTCTCAGGGTGGGCCCTAATCCAATCTGAGTGGTGCCCTCACAAGGACCCAGACAACAGGTAGACGAACTCACAGAGAGATGCCACCTGCAAGCCAGAGAGGCCTCAGAGAAACCAGCCTCCTCCCCACTTGACCTGGCACCTCCAGCCTCCAGGGCTCAGAGAGGTAATTTCTGTTGCTTGCAACACCCGGTCGGTGGCACCTTCTTAAGGCCCAAATAAGCACATGCAGAACTAGCCCCAGCAGCCAAGGCAGGGCTCTGCTCAGCAATAGCACACTCCTTCCTGCCAGGGGCCATCGGGGCGTCCTGGAAGACTCTGCGGGAGGAAGCCTGTGCTTCAGACCCGAACAAGACGGAGCGTCCTGCTGCATGCAGGCTGGCTGGTGGTTGTTTAAGAAGATAGTGTATATTCTGAAATACAGTGTCATTCAGAAATTAATTAACCTGAACACAGGGAATTTTAAAATGTCATTTCAGTGGCAGAAGGTGAGCTTCAGGAGCTGTTAATCCACATCAAATCCCTCCCCATTTCCCGTCTGCTCTTCCTAGGCTACTTCCTAGGCTACAGAAGGCTTTCTAGGACTCTTCTTTAAAACACACGCCCAACTAGCATGTGAAGAAGCAGCCCCCAGAACAAAGGGACACTGTCATTTATGGTCACCAGGATGGACACGAGCAAGTATTCATCCAGGATGGACACAGCAAGCAATCATCAGGCACCTGCAATCTTTATTCTGACACTTTTCTCAACCAAGTTCTACAAAGGTTAAAATCCTATTTTTAAAAATTGTGGGACATTCACAAGTGAGTCACTCCTGGGCTAATAAATTTAAAGTCAGTATATTCAACGTGTTTTCGGTCCACTCATAGACAATAAAAGAGTCTCTGTCTAACCTACATGACATTTACTGCAGCAAAAATGCCATCGCTTAAAAAATGTTATTCATATAAAACTCTGACATTTCACTTTATAGAAAAATCTTTGAGAGTAGAACAATATAGTCATAGATCCTTGATAATTTTGACAGTAACAGCTATGACATCGTCTCTAAGGTCTACTTTGGTTATTGTTTATGATGGGCTTGGTCTGTCTGTATTTTTGGGAAATCAAATTGCAAGTAATTAGAGCATAAATTATTGACAAGGATTTTTCTTCTGAAATTAAAACACATAAAAGTACCTTCAGCTACATTCCAATTCAACTAATGTGAAATAAAAGAGCAAGCATAAATTGACAATAATATGTACCTGTGTTTAAGGACATGTGGCATGTATAGGAACCTGCGTGTGTACACATGTAGACTCACAGCAGTAGGGAGCTGCGACCCTTGTGTGCACCTCTGAGACACCTGATGGGCCTCAGCATTGTGCCAACCTGCCTCCTCCTGGGTCTAACCAGCCCTAATTCTGCACTTGCATACATCGCCTTCCTCTTACAGACCGAGGGGAAAGTCTTCAAGTGCGTGTGTGGATGTACACCTCAAAACAAACACAAACACCCTCCTGGCCCCTGATGCCCTCCGGTCCCCTGTTTCTACACATAACATGGGAGTTWGATTTCCAGTTTAGTGGTTGGTCTTCATAAACACACAAACTGGTTCACGTGGGTCTATCCACACCAGCAACTGACTACGGTGGCTCATCAAATCAATGAGATGCCTACAAACGCACAAGAGCAGAGCACTCTTCTCACTGAATCGTGGTGTAATTGAACTCAATAACCAATCTGTCAAAACATGAGAAAGCCATTATTATGTTCAGACATTACCATATCCTGGTCGACCACCTGGGCATGGTGATTCTTCTATTTACACAAAGAGGATTATCAACAGCGGCTTCTTTTCAATTTGACAATTCAACCATGCGCACCATGAAGCTAAATGATCATTAGAATTGTATAAAAATCACAAGTTTTTTTGCTGAATATAGTATTAGCATGTGTTTAGCTAACTATTTTATTCTTTTAAAAACTGTAAACATACAGACTCTTGCTTTACCAGCTGGAAGTCTCTGTGAGCCTCTGTTTTTGTGCATTTCTAGTAAAACTGTCATTCCCAGTTATTAAAATACCCAAGAYTTGTTAATTTTCCTCACATACCTAGTGAATCATTAACACCTGGGAAAGGCTGCCTGTGATCACCTGCTGTAAATCCCCACATTAAAGTAAGCCATGGGGAGACTAAGGCCCCCAGGTTGCTGGAACTCACAATCTGAGTGGCCGCTGTGGTTGATTAGTTTGGGGAAGATGTGATGTAACTGAGGAGGCTCCACTAGGGAGGTGTGTGAACGAAAGAATTGCTGCTGTGCAAAGACTGAGGGATCTTACCATCAAACACTTCCAGGGCATCAAACTGCTTCTCGCTTTGGAACGTGTCCACAAAGATGGTGATGTTAAAGTCGGGCTCCACCTTAATGCTCCAGGAGCATGTCTGGGAGTTGAAGTAGTTGCCTGGGTACCCTGGGCTGAGGATCACTCCAGAAGATTCTGTCCGGACTTCGTTTGCTGGGCACTGTGCTGAAGAGAGAAGTACCCACAAAGCTGTGCTTTAACAAAGTGACCCAGCTTCAAGAGGACAGTTTCTCTCCCCAGACTCACAGGACAGGGAGAAGGAAAGGCTCTCGTCCAGAGCTCTGGCCCAGCTCACGGGGTGCCCACCGAGGCAGCCCCTGGAACAGCAGTGAGCCAGCAGCACCCCGGCCCAGTACCGCCCAGCCTGCGCAGGCCTCTGCCTGCTGAGTCCCCCTGCGTCTGGCAGGTTCCCTGTGGATCTCATCACAAGACCACAGATATTCCCATCACACCACCAAGAAAGCTCTCCCTCCCCTGAATGATGACAGTGTGACACAATAAAAGAAATATAACAGAAAACTGTGAAAACAGAAATCTTATTTATTTCAGTCTTTGATATACTTAGAATAGTGAAATTTACACACTGGGTGTGACCACCTGGGACCCTGGGAACAGGATGAGTTGGACAGCCTGGCCTGGGGCCCACCTCGGACCCCCATTTCTTGTGGGCAGCAGGAGTCGTAATTTCTGGGATGTTGTGAATAAATCGCTGAGATACTGGGGCCATATCAACGCACCTTCCTCCTCCTTCCCGGTTCTCTTGTTCAACTCCCTCCAGGTTGATTAAAATATAAACAACCTGTACAGGTACGAACTATGAATGTGCAAAAGACATTCAGCAGGCTTCCTTAGTTACTCTCTCCTCTCAGTGCTTAATTGTATTATGTTCCTAAAGTAGTGTGCTTATAGAATAATAAGGGGAAATAATTTCTATTATTAATAATGGCTGGCTGCCCCAGAACCATTCTCAGAATATTTGAGAAGTTTAATATCAATTTTCCTCAAGAAAATGCGCTTTTCCTTCAGAAGAAATATAACTTATTTATTGAGTTATTCCCTTTTAATTAGCTAAATATGTATTATTTATATATTCATTTTGCAATAAGACCCTTAAACAGATGAGCAGAGTTTATGAAATACGTCTTGTTCAAGTAACTCTGTGAAGAGGCCCACTTTCCTATGTCCCTCCAGTTACCTTGGTGTTCTAATTGAAATTACCTCCAAATTTAGAAAATGTTGAGGGACAAAACCACCAATGATGAGCCTTTTGTAGAAGTAAGTGTTTTAGGTAGGATTTTTTAAMTGTTCACAAAGATGAATCAAAGGTAACCATATAATAAAAAATAATCCTGACTATCAGTCACAAACCAAAACAATCCTACAAATTCTATTTTCTTATAGAAAAAGCCATCATGAAATTCATTTAGAAAAATAAAAGACTCAGAATAGTTAAAGCAATCCTTAGCAGGAAGAGTGAAGCAGGAGGCATTGCTATACCAGACTTTAAGCTATACTTCAAAGCTATAGTAACAAAAGCAGCATGGTATTGGCACCAAAATAGACATACAGACCAATGGTACAGAATAGAAGACACAGAGACAAATCCACATAAATATGGTTAGCTCATACTAGACAAAGGCAGTAAAAACATATAGTGGAGAAAAGATAGCCTCTTTAACAAAAGGTACTGGGAAAACTAGAAATCCACATGCAGCCAAATAAAACTAAACCCCTATACCTCACCCTGCACAAAACTCAAAGTGGATCAAGGACCTAGGATTTAGTCCAGAGACCTGCACCTAATATAGGAAAAAGTAGGCCCAAATCAATTAAGAATTAATAAATGGAATGAACTCAAACTAAAAAGCTTCTTCTCAGCAAAAGAAACAATCAATGAACAATCAATGAGATGAACAGAGAGCTTACATTTTGGGAGCAAATTTTTGCCACACATACACACACCACACACATGTCAGATAGAGCCCTAATCTCCAGGATATATAAAGAACTCAAAAACTTTAACACCAAAAAAAAAAAAAAAAAACAACAACAACAACAAAAAAAACTCAATCAATAAATGAGCTAAGGAGCTGAACAGACACTTCTCAGAAGAAGATTCACATTTGATCAACAAATATATGAAAAAGTGTTCAACATCTCTTGTAATTAGAGAAATGCAAATCAAAACTCTAAGATCTCATCTCACTCCAGTCAGAATGGAAGCTATTAAGAATACAAACAAAAAAAAAAAGTGTTGTCGAGGATGTGGGGAAAAAGGTACCCTMATACACTGCTGGTGGGACTGCAAACTGGTGCAGCCAATATGGAAAGCAGTATGGAGATTCCCTAGAAAACTGGGAATGGAACCACCATTTGACCCAGCTATCCCTCTCCTTGGCCTATACCCAAAGGACTTAAAAACAGCATACTATAGTGATGCAGCTATATCAAGTTTATAGCAGCACAATTCACAATAGCTTAACAGTGGAAGCAATCTAGATGCCCTTCAAAAGATGAGTGGATAAATAAACTGTGGCATATATACACAATGAAATATCACTCAGCATTAAAAGAGAATAAAATTATGGCATTTGCAGGTAAATGGATGGACTTGGAGAATATCATGCTAAGAGAAGTCAGCCAATCCCCAAAAATCTAAAGGCCAAATGTTCTCTCTGATGCTGATAGATGGGGGCAGGCGGGAATGGGAAAAATGGAGGAACTTTGGGCAAAGGGGAGGGAAAGGCAAGGAGAGGGCATGGGGGCAGGAAAGATGGTGGAATGAGATGGACATCATGGCCCTAGGTACCTCTATGACTGCTGCATCATGTACAATCAGAGAAATGGAAAGTGGGGCTGCAGTTGTGTACAAGCAATCAAAATGCATTCTGCTGTCATAGATACCTAATTAGAATAAATACATTTTAAAAACTTTAAAAGAATTTAAATTCTGTTTCCTCCTACAGCAGTGGTAAAGGTGCCTCTGTGAACACAGGGTGTCTGCCCCACCCAGGTGCTGCTTCTCTAGGAGAGGCCCAGGGAGTCGGAGCTGTGTCTGAGAACCCGCGCAGGCCCACCTGGGTCTGGAGGCGCACAGCCTTCCTGGAGTCTGCAGCCAGAGCCAGAGCTTCCCTGGCAGAGTGGACAGAACGTCATAGGGACAGGAGGTGGGTCCACTGCACGCCTGCCTGCCTCCTCCCAGGTGAAGGTGCTGGGGGCCCGTGGCATCCTGGTGTTGCCCTGGAGAGACGCCTCGCCAGTCACCGCACCCTGTGSGTCTCCTCAGGGCAGCTACAGTTACTAGGGGACCCAGGAGACTCTCCAGGGAGTTGCCCAGATCCCCCACGGGAGGGGAGAGCACACCAGGGCTTGCAAGCGGGACAGCGGCTCCGACTCCCACGCAGCTCTGAGCCCAGCCATCTTCTCTGCATTCCAARAGGCTGCTTTTGTCTTTTTAGAGAAGATGAAATGAAAAACCCACCAAGCCCTTTACGTCATGTTTTCACGACCCTGGGCCCCATTTCTTCAGCCTGTGTCTGGGCCCAGAGATGCCTGAGTGTGTGTCTGCAGCGGGCTCAGCGGCTGCCTCCTGCCTGTTCCTGGGGYCCCTGCGGCTTTTCCTCCCCCTAGGAGCTGCTCTGCTGGTGTGGCATTCCTGTACCTGCTGGCTCTGTGCAGAGGCCACCAGGACCTCTTCACTAGGGCCCTGGTCAGGTTTCACCCTGAGAGCAAACTGCAAGGGTCCAGGCCCACCCCCAGAGGCCAGCTGCCCTAGTCTCCCAGCCTTCTGATGATGAATTCTCTTCTCCTTCTGGAAGACTTCTCCTCATTGTTTAGAGTAGGTATCTAACACGGTCGTATTTATCTGCCTATGATATTATCTTCCAAAGAACACACCACAATCTTCCCCATGTCTCCCCCAAATTGTTCAAGGCTTTCAAAGCTCAACTTCTAAAACTGAGTCCAGACATAGAGGAAGTGGGATTAAGAGTGAATACATTGTCTCCCTGAGAATTTACTTTGGGATTGACCTCACTTGAGCTCAATCAAGTCAGTCAAATAATAGGAAGTACTTAAAGAAAAAGTGTAATTAGGTGCTTAAGAGATTAAGGATTGGGTGAAAGACATCTGAGCTCCTATTTCCTGTTTCTAAATAATGAGGGGTTGAATGAAGAACCACTAAGAGGCTTTCAGTTCCATTAAAGAGTTTGCTCCTGAGATCCTGGGCTGTCCTGAGCCGGTGCTGCTACTGTGGGCAGGATGTGGGGTGTGCAGCCTGCGCAGGGTGAGTCTGCAGCCCGTGGAACGCAGGAGAGCCCGGTCATGTGGAGAGCCACCTGGGTGGCCTTGGTCTGCTCCACTGGGCACCAACTAGGTGACTCTGCACAGCGCAGTAAAGGAGGTAGGTGCCTCGTTTGGGGATGGCCGTGTTAGTATGCGAATTTGCCTTTCTTCACATGTCCACTGGGAGCTCCTGGCTTGAAGTCTACCCTTTTGAGAAACCTGAGCCTGCATTTGGCGGGGTGAAAATGTACCTTAAAAATGTAAAGACTTGCCTCTGTTAATTTTATAAAAAATGACCAAGGAATGACATTGGCCAAACCATATAGTCAGATTGTACACAAGCACAAAGTGCCACAACAAAACCCACCATTGTGTACAACTGTAAACATATGGAAAAAGACAAAGAAAGAAATAAAAGAATATGCCCTTGTGATTATTTTTCCGTTAAAAAATTCTGTGAAATGGCAAAAGCTGCACAATATACATCCCCTGTTTTGGAAAGAAAATTCAAAAGCAGATCATTGTTGCCTTGAAAATGGCTCTGGTGTGCTTCACCAGTGTGACCCCTGACTTCTGGATAGGGGACAGGAGGCCCAGTTTCAGTGACTTCTCAAAGGAAGCTGCTCTGCTGGTGTGGCATTCCTAGACCTGCTGGCTCCATGCAGATGCAACCTCAAAGCCGATTTCTAGAGTGTGCAGCAGTGATTGAGTCCAATTAGAATGCCGCTGTTTCAGATGTTGGAAATTCCTCCCCTCTCAAGGTGACTGGGATGCGGCCATCTGATGTAGTGAGGACACACAGTCATCAGATGTCAGGGGGGACCTGCTCCAGCTGTGAGCGCTCACAAAGTCACCTCAAAACCCACACTTGACCCTGCAGAACCACCTGCCTCATGCAGGGTCGCAGTCACAGCGACACTCCATTTCTCCTTCCTTTCCTAAGTAAGGCGATGAACCATCATCTTCCCTCTTCATGATGGATGGGGACTAGCGACTTGCCCCAGTCACTGGACCTGGACTGGGGTCTTCTCTTTCCAAATTTAAAGTCCATTCAGCTGCTGCACCCTCCCCTGGGACTATCATATTCAGAATCCTGGAGAGGGGGAGTCTGCTGTTCAGTGGCCCAGCATTTGCATTGGGGCATCTTTTAAAATTTAAATTGGCAGCTTTTGAAGGTGAACTGATGGCACTGCTGATTTTATTTGGGCCACTGAAGATTATTTATAGCTGTCAAGCCTTTTCTTCCAAAGGAATTTGCAGTGGTGCCCTTCGAAGCTGTTTTAAATTGATCTAATAGTATTCTAGTCAATGGATCTGTGGATGCAAGTCTTAAATCTTGTTCTGTTATTATGGATTATCTAAGTTCTCGCATGTGGTCTATTTATTTAAAGGGTATGTGTAAAACATGAAATGTTTACTTGTTGTTTATGTATACGTTTTAGACCCCAAATATTAAATACCAGCTAATCATATTCATGCTGACGTGCTGACGGGGAATTTCCATGATACACAAATTTTGCCTTGAAATGCACGAAAACAGAGAGGTAGATGAGCAGGTGGAATGGAGGCATAGAAAGCTGGGATACAGGAAATGCCGCCAACGTCCTCGGGGCCTCCATAGGGCTCAGGTGTTTGTTTTAAAACCATTTCAAGGTTTCCCTGGGTTTGAGCGTTTTCATGAACTGTAGGGAGGAACAAGGCTTCTCGGAGGGGCACGGAGAAGAGGCTCTGGATGTTACCATTGGAGCTGTTTCCCACGGTGGGCTCACGCACGGGGACCACACCCACCCAGGCGGGGGAGGCCAGTGCTCTGCACCAGGCGGCTCAGGCTTACCTTCGCAGGTTGGGAGGGAGCCTTCGAACTGCAGCTGGGAGCCAAGCTTGCAGGTCAGCGTGTCACTGCCCGACAACGTGTAGCCAGGGTGGCACTGGTACCGCACGAAACCTCCTGAAAGAGTCGAGACAACACGACAGAACTGTGCTTCCAGGGCACTCAGAGAGGGCGCGGCAACATGCACAGCAGCCCACTGAGCTGCCCAGCCAGGGAGGAGCCACCCAGAGCCACGGTCTGTCTGCTTCTCGTCTGTCCAGAAGGTCCCGTTCTGGGCTCTTGGTTCATCAAATGCACCCTAACTCAGCCTGTGCTGCCCCAGAGATGATGTGGTGTCCTCTTCCCTCATGGACACACCTGTCCCCTTCCCCAACCTCTATCCAAGTAGTGTGAGGGAGCCTAGCTTGGGGCAGGGCAGCAGGGAGGGTGACGGGGCTCTGCACCCCAACAGGGCTCCTCTGAGACCTGGCCTCAGGAGCCAAGGTCCCCACTCTCCGAGCTGGTAGTCCCACAGCGTGGCCAGGCCTGCCACGTGGCGTGCAGACAGGTTGAGACGCTGCCAATTGGGACTAAAAACCCTGGGTCACATGACTACATGGCAAACATGTGCTGTGGCCTCCTCCTTCACATGACCACATGAACACTGCATGAAGTGGACGCTGATGGAAATGACAAAGCCAGACTCAGAATGTCACCATCAACGTTCCCTGGTAGTCACCCCCGGTCTGGGGAAGRGGSGACCTTGCAGTCACCATTCTTTAAGCTACAAATGATCAGGTCCCCTTTCCTGAAGGGTGTGGGCATCTCCCTCATGAGACACCGAGACCTGCCCAAGTCTGTCTCTGAACGTTGTGAGAAGCAAACCAAGTGGCAAATGCCTTCGGTGAGGAAAGGCTCCAGATGACAAGAGCARAAGTCACATGGCAAAGTGGATGACGATTTGGGGAATGGAGAAAGGCGGCATTTTGTCTTGATCTCTGCACAGGCCCCAGCGTGCTAGAGGATACCTTTATTCCTAACCAGTTCACCCATCTGCACAGGGACTGCAGGCAGAGGCGGGGGTGAAAGGCCAGGTGTCTGGGTGCCGTATGAAGGACACGTTACCTATTTCAAAGTCTTCGTCCTCTGTGAGCATGTCCGCCTGCGGGACTGCCGGTGGGGGTGGGCACTTCTTCAGCTGAAAYGCTGAGGGTCCAAGAAAACAGAATAACAACAGCAGTTGCATTTACTGAATAAGCAAAACATCACAAAGCTCTTTCTCCCAAAGCTACCATGCACACACTGCAGCACCACAGGTATACACCGTCACCTACTAATTCCCATCCCCCAGGGGCGTTGATCCCTGCACCCCAGTGACAGATGAGGTCCAGGGACACCAAGGTTACCACCAGCAGGGCCACACGGTGACTGCTCCCTGCACCTGCTTGCGTTCTGCACAGAGCAGAGGCTTCTTAATCTTGGAATGAGTCCAAGCTTGCTGTGACACAGCACAGCACGACATGAAGGAGTGACCGCCATATCGTAATCACGAAGACATCCCCAAACCATGAAGGGCCCCAGGAAACTCCGGCCCCAACGCAGGGGCCATACCACGGAGTGTCAATGGCAGCCCTGAGGCGCTGGAGCTGGCGCAGAGTGGGGTCAGTCCCAGGGGAGACAGCTCCCGAACTCTCTGTCCTCCTCAGAGGGAGGGAAGGGCACTGACCGTGGAAATTGAGGACAAAGAAGCCTCCATTTGAAAAGTCGCTGTGGAACTTGAGCAGGACTTGGCTGGTGGAGCTGTGAGCGGTTTCCAGGGCTGTGTTCCCGCTGAAGACGCCCAGCTGYGGTGCATTCTGGTCAGGACCGTCCCTAGGAACACAGACAGAGCCTTTGGAACAAGGGCGCCCTGGGCTGAAGAGCAGGCTGTCCTGGCCCCTGAGCTCGCCACCTGGTGGGAGCACACAGTGCCCCCTCCTCTGTGGCCTGGCACCTCGGTGCGTGCAAGGCCACTCTCCAGCTTCCTATCCAAGTCCCTCGCCCAGAGTCTAAGTGCACTGGTGTCTCTCTCAGGAGTGAGATCCATGGAGACTTTTACCACAGAATTCAAGCATTTTGTAAAACAATAAAACATGAGCATCCTCTGGAGCCTGGGTTTAGTGTCTGAGATCCACAGTCGACTCTGCAGTGTCTCTCGAGGAGCTGATGTCAGCCCGGGCGTGGGCACTGGACAGCCTCAGTGTCCAGACCTTCCCGCCTTCCGATAGCGTCCTCTACGTGGAGCTGCACTGTGACATCTCCGTGTTCACCCCAGGATCTGCTCCTCGTTCTCAGGGCCATGGAGTCCCCTTTCTCACCCCCTCAGGACCGACCCAGAAGCCAGCCTCTCTCTYCCTGCCCTCTGCATCTCTGCACCCCAAAATAAGACCAGCTATTTTCAGTCAAAACCGGGCCTCCAATCCCTCCTGCTTGGGCACCCCGTGGCCATCTTAGTGCCCCTAAAATAAAGCCTACATCTGCATCATGAGTCAGCGAGGCCCCTGCCACCTGCCCTGCTGTAGCCACCTCTTGCCCTCCCTGTGGGCTCTAAGGAGAGGTCAGCTACGTGGCATGCAGAGGTTGGCCACGTTGCACACGCACACACACACATGCACACACTACTTGCAGTTCCTTTAGCCTCCGTGCAGTTCATTCCAGCCACACAACGCTCCCCTGGAGGGCCTCTCCCTCCCACCGTGGTATCACAGGGCCACAGTCGACCCCAGTCCCTTCTGCACTCTGACCTCAGAACTCCAGKGTCGGGAGCCTTCCCCAGGCCTCAGTCCTGCACAGCCACAGCCTCACCCCACCCGCTCAGGGTCACCCACAGCCCCAGGAAAGCCAGCTCCACAGCAGTATCAGGGCTGAGAGGGCCAAGTAGCAACCGGTCCCTGAGTAACCGCGTCTTCAATATTTCTAGAAACATCCAACCATGGCAAAGGATCCCACACCTTTTCTTTTAGAAAAAAATAACATTTAAAAATGTAAAACAGAAGCCAGGTGTGGTGGCGCACTCCTGTAATCCCAGTGGCTCCAGAGGCTGAGGGAGGAGGATCGAGAGTTCAAAGCCAGCTTGAACAACTTCGTGAGGCGCTAAGCAACTCACGAGAGTCTGTCTCTAAATAAAATACAAAAAGGGCTGAGGAAGTGGCCCAGAGCTATGTTCAATCCCTGTTCCAAAAGAAAGAACAAACAAAAAACTTAAAATAGAATAATCTTAGTGGGGAATGAAATTGACCAAATTTTCTGTGTACATGTATGAATATGTAACAGTGAATCCCACTCATAAGAACAATTTTAATGCACCAATAAAAATATTAAAAAAAATAAGTTTCAAGTATTCTCATATATTGAAAATGATCCTGGACATCTCCACCATAGACCAAGGTCTACCTTGGAATCCACCCTCTCCACCCCTGGACTTTGCTGGTGAGCCTCTTTTCTACACCCGCTCACTGGGAACCCTACTCTGCTCCACAGGAGGTGTGAAGGTGGGGTGGACGGGCCCTGGGTGGCCACAGGCTTTGCCGGGCTGTGCACCTACCAGACGGCGATGTAGTCGTTCACAGCCTCCGTCTGCAGCAGGGTGAAGTTGATGTACACCCCGTGCCCCGGAGGGACCGCGATCAGCCAGACACAGTCCTTCAGAATCGGGTACTCGTCCGGAAAGCCAGGGGAGTAGATGGTGCCGTTCTCGGACGTCACGTTATACCCGCAAGGAGCTGAAGGAAGAGACCCACAGTGAGCCTGGTGCCAGCGGGTGCAGGGGGCAGGCCCCGTTTCAGAGCTCTCAGCCAAAGCTCCCCGGTGAGAGGCGACTGAGGTGCTTCTCAGGGTTGCCAAAGCGGTTCCCCCAAAACCGGGAACCTGCGGAAGAGTCACACTTCTAACCCGAGTCGTCTCAGCCTCACCAGATACAGTCTCCAGATCTTCAAATCGCCTCTGGACAGCCACTCCCACAGGAGGAGGCATGCCCATCACCTGGGACTGAGCCGATGACCCCTGATGGTCCCATGTCAAGGGCCATGTGGAAATGACACAGGAACACAAATCTGGGTGTTTCTGGGCTAAGTCATGGCCCTAAAGCCTACATAAGCTGTCCACAGGGAGGCATCCGAGCCCACGGCCATGGAGCAAAGATGCTACCAATTCTCTGCAGAGGCATACCTCAAGAAGCCAGGCAAAATCATGTCAGTGGTTCTTTCCTGAAGTACTTCCATGTCCACTAATGTCAAGTTATGTGAAGAATCCCAGGGCACAGTCTATTTTTATTTTACTGAATAAATTGACATTTATTGTTGCCATGGCAATTATTTCGCTTACAGAAAAGTGATATGGCCAGGTATTACTAGGACAATTTGAAATGTAGTCTTTAATTCAAATGGAGGATTGCACATCAAAGTCGTAGACAAGTAGACTTTAAAATAAAGCCAAAAGCAGCCACCATGGACTGAGGGCCCACTCACTATAGGATCTTCCAGGACCATCAAAGACTGGCCAGGAGAGACATTGACTAGATGCAGCCAAGAGGCCAGAGCCCACAAGAAGACAGACAAGAAGAAAAGTGTAGTAACGGCTCAAAGTAAGGACAGAGGAGGCAGCACAGGCCACGCGTGACCACACAGATCAACACCCGCGGGCGTCAGTGGGGGCGTGCACCCATGTCAAACGGACCACAGCTGGCCAAGGCTCCCGCCAAGTCAYGGGGAAGGGCTGGGGAGAGCATTTGAGAAGCCTGAGACCTAAGTAGGGTTTGGATTCAGACACCCCAATTTATAACCTAGCAAAGCAGAGATGGCTCAGAGCCCCGTTTCTGCACCTTTGGTGAGGCCAGGGCACAGTGCGCTCTTGTTTACAAGTTGACTCTGGTAATGAGGGGACCACCTGCACAGAATCACCCTTCCCGAGGGGAAAAGCAAATGGAGCACCACAGTCTCCACTCTAAGGCAAGAGAGATGACGTGAGGGTCCTGGCAGATGACCCTTGACCTCCAGCATGCTGTCACTCAAAAGCTCTTCCTCAGCGACCAAGGCCCCTACCCTGTTCTGCTTCATACATGAAACCCAGATAACAAACCTTCCCTTTCACTCAGGTAACAAGCACTAATTGAGAGTCTATTGTGTCCCAAGAAGTGTTTGGGGCTAGGACACAGCTGTGAGCAAGGGAGCCTGGTTCCTGCCGTGGTGGACCCTCTGGAATGGTGACAGAGGCCATCAAACATGCTCTGAAGAGTATGGACCTAAGCTGGTGCAGGGCCCTCAGGGAGGAGCAGATACTCCTGTCCTGAGAGTGATGTTCCTGTCAGTGCAGGTGAGACTTTCTCAGGGCAAAATCCTGTCCCCTTCCTGTGTRCAGAGGAGGACTGTAAACACCAGTGTAAGTCCCTCCCCATGCCACCTGGTTCCAGAAGTCAATGCCCTCCTGAGTGGCCGCAGAGGCACCTGTGGGTTCCTCCRGTGACCTCCCACGGGACTGCACAGAAGTGGGTGTGGGAAGGGCATCCCCCGCCTTCCCCCACAMGTGGGCTCAGGTGCAGAGGGCAGTGGGAGCAGGGAGGTGCTAGTGGGGCACCTGTGCCTTCTCTCCTTAAACATTAGCAAGAATCAACACAATTCACATTGTGAAACCAGKAAAGTCCACTGAGAGAATTACAGATGCCTAGAGTTTTCTCTAGAATTGTACTGAAGTTGCTCTTCTTAGGTATTTTGGTCATAGCAATGAAAGCTGATCAATAGAAAGTCCTCTTTTGGCAAGCAGAGTTTAAAAACAGGATTTATGAATAAAAATAAGAAAAAACAAAGAGAGTATTACATTCTTTGTAGTCATTTTTATTCTAAACTATTAGGAGAGATTAGTTTCTGTATTTACCAGTTGATTTGGCAAAATCTACTTCTAAAAAGAATGTACATAACTTTTTATSATGCTTGGGTGGCTAAATGACTTGTGCCAATTATGCAATTAAATTGTACTCTGCTTAGGAAATATATTAAACTCAAAGGGTACATATTAGCTACCCTAATAATGAGGTTCTACATAACTCCCCGCTCTACACACAGTTGAATATTTTACAGTGAGACAGGTCATGAGAGTGTGACAGGGATTAAATTTACTTAAAATATCTTAAAAGTATACCTACATAATTTTTCAGTGGTAAAGAATTAATTAGGCCAATAAAATATTTGAAATTTTTGAACTACATTTCTAAGTATAGACAAATATATAATTATCAAATTACATAGTAAATTAACAAGCTATAGCCTTTTAAAGCATGTTTTGACAATTGTAACACTTTTGTTGAAATGAAATTTCTGTGTAATTATGCTATTGAAAGAATATAWATATATTAGAGCTACATCATGTTTTGAATTTCCATTACTTTGGGCTATATTTTTTCTTTTGTTTTAATAGACATTGTTTTTTAGATCATAGCTTTTCAGGTAATTTTACAAAATAGGGTCATTTATGGCTTCACATGAAAATACTTTCAGCATATGAATTCAAATTGATTGAACATTTCCTTGAGCAGATTGATGCCTTAAGGTTTAGAACTYTTGACTGTTAAAGGTCAGCGCTGGCCAGCTCTAAGGAAGCCAGCCGGAAGTCATTCCAAGTACCTATTCCTTTCTGAAGTGCTTTGAATCTGATAGCACTGGACCCTGAAGGGCCTTCTCAGCACCACTGCCCTGTGCCTCTGCCGTGAATCTGGTAGCAGTGGGCAGCACCAGGCACTAGTGACAGATGCCTCAGGTGAGGGCTCCATATGGTCAGCAGAAGGTGCCRGAGTCTCCGTGCAGGGCTGTGGAGCCCTGAAAGCTAGAGTGCAYCTCGGAAGTCCCATCTCGCTTCTCAAACAGAGTCTTCTTATAATCTGAACTATGACCTTCCACAGGCCCATGAACTCCTGGGTGGAAACGCTCCCTCMGTGTGCTTATGTTCTTACTGCATCCAGTGTGCACAGGGTACTAACACACATTGAGGGCTTTCAGAAAGTCTTCTGGACAGCCCCTCTAACTGCAACCAAATCTCATGTTATGATCCAATTTTAGGTGAATCTCATGCTTTAGTTTTTTTGTTTTGTTTTGTTTTGTTTTGTTTTGTTTTTTATACTGTTCATGACCTTATTGGTAAAAAAAAAAAAAAAAAAAAAAAAAAAAAAAGAGCCATAAGTAAGAATCCTGGTCTGGTAAAGGTCTTGGCCACAAAGGGGTCTGGCCTTGGCTGTTGCTCTGGGAGGTCCCCCTGGACACCTGCAGGAAGGCCTGGAGTGGGGGGGGCTGGTCCCACTGGTAGTGCTACACCAGGAAGACCTGTGGTGGGATTCAGGCTGGTTATGACTCTGACTGTCCACTTGGGTCTCCGCTGGCAATCACCCATGTCCATGGGACGCAGCCCATAGAGACTCTGACGCTGGGCTCAGGTGAGCATTCCAGGTGGGCCRCCCTCTGTGTGTGGTTGCAGGTGATGCAGAGCGAGCAGTGTGTCCTCTCCTCCCTGCCCGTGTGTCCTCCCGCTGGACGACTCCCACACCCCCTCTCCTGTTAGCAATGATGAGCTTCTGTGATACTGGACCCCAGGCTCGTTTTGGAGTCTGAAGGCTTAAGCCTCACAGTCTGGCTGACTCTGGGTGGGGTTCCACACCATGATGGAATTAGAATATACGGCTTCACTTTAAAGTACATCAGCAGAAGGGTACTTGGTTATTTTCATACTAACAAAATAATTCTGAACCAAACCAGTTTTTTCCATGTTGTAAAATTCAACTAAAAGTAATGAGATCAAATTAAATATTTAATTATTCTTCTTCAATATCAACCCAAGGAATCTACTTTACATGAATTCAAATTCAGGGAAAAATAAGACATAATTTTAATTCTGGCAATTTCAAAGTGATTTATGCATATAAATATCAGTTTTCTAGGTGGTGCTGGAGGATGGACCCGTTCATGCTAATCACCTGCTCTASCACTSAGCTACACTCCAACCCTAAATGTGTTTTAAGTGGAAAGTAGTAAGAATTAAAGGTTTTTAAAAATGTCTTAATGAAAGAAAGATAATTGCTCATAYGCTTAGTCTCACAAAGCCAATTTATAATAAATATTGAGCCAAGATGAGAAATTTTCATGTACAGCCAAGATTATTCTCTTCATAATTGTTTTTTAATGGAAAATATAGGTAAAATTTGTGTCTTTTAAGGTCTACATGACTTGCTTGCTTTGCTTCTTCAGTAGAAATCCAAACCTGGATAGTCTCTCCCTTTCACCAGGGGTGAAGTGCTCAGCATTTCAAAGCTGCACGGAGCTGGCCACTCCTTTATTTCTTCGTTCAAAGGTGCTGTGTTTATAAGGCTAGAACACTGGGTTTCCAGGAGATTTTCCGTTACACATCATTCCTCCTAAATGCTGTACCTCCTCAATTCATTTCACCTTGGTATTGAAAAAACGTCTAAGTGATAAAAAATTGGAGGCTATAGGGAATCTGTGAGAAAGGACCCAGCACAGAGGCGGGGGCGTCCAGTGAGCCGGGGTCCTGCTCCACCTCTRCAGGATCCTGACAGCATCTCCCTGGAGTCCCCAAGGCCAAGCACTGYGGGGCTCCTGCTCCGAGCCTGCTTATACCTTCAGGGTTCTCTGTCTCCACAAAGCACTATTTGCCCATCCGGGCCCACTGCAAAACGGACTTGGTGTCATGAGACACAAATGTGATGTGCGATATGAGAAGACAGACCTCAGATGCAATCCACAGACACCCTTCTCCCCTCTGATCTCACCCTCTGAGGGACCACTGTGCTCCGTGCTGTGCTCCCTCTCTTCTTCTGCACCTCCTCTCCACCCGCTCCTCGGCCTGGGGTTGCAGTATGATTGTTTATTCACTTGTCATCCTGAGAGTTCCCTGCAGACCAGGGCCTATTTGGGTTTTTAACATTTTAATATTTGGTGATACGTTCCTAAACTACTAAGTGGCGTGAGTGTCACACAGGAGATTCTCCATAAATATTTGCTGAATAAATGGGTGAAATTGCTGTACACGTTCATTTAATATTTGCTGCACTGCTACAACCATGAGAAGTTAAACTGCCCCTGAGAAGGACAACAGACCCACCGTCACATCGTGGGAAGGGGTGGTTCCAGTTTCTGTTGATGCCGTGCTGACAGGTGAGGACGGGRTGGCCCAGGAGGACATACCCTGGGTAGCACTCAAACGATATGGACTGCCCCACACTGTAATCCGAGTTGGTCATRTACCCGTTCTGGAAAGGCGGTGGGTCCGGGCAGTTCTGCAATTCATAGGCTGAAAGGCAAACAGAGGGCAAGAGGTGAGTCAGGTTTTCCGAGGACCAGAGCGGCTGCACACAGCTTCTGAGGTGGACTTTCCCGACACAGGCTCTAAGAAGTGTCTTTCCAAGGAGTCAGTTGCCATCCTGAATAAATTAAAGAATAATTATCCGCAGTAGTGGAGTTATAACCACACACATTTAATGAGTACTTATTGTGAGCTTTAGAAGAAATATAGCAGATACCAAAAAATAAAATTGACAATATTTACCTTGGAAAGAAAGTACAATTTAATTTGAAAAGTAATATAAATGATGATAAAAATTGCCTATAAAGAATACTGAGTTAGCATGGGCCCAAAGCTTCTTCTTTTTCTTTTTCTTTGTAATTTAACAGAGAAATAGGTAAGAGTGGTTTACCTTGTGATCATAGCCYTCAGTGGCTCTGAGCCTTTTTTTTCAGGATAATATATGGCTTTATTTTCTATATGAGAAAAAGCAGATAATTTAACAGTAGAAATCACATCTATATCTTGTTTCTCAGACGAACTCGATATTTCTAGTGAATGAAATCCATATTTTAAACTTAGACTCTCCTATTTCATGGAATGTGGCTCCCTGAACTTGCTGCTCTTGGAAGGAAGAGAGGTTCYGCTGTGAGAGAGCACGTTGCCCTTTGTGAGGAAGCAGCAGAAGGAAGAGTAGAGCTCCATGGGAAAGACATGCCTTGCAGCAAGATCTCTTAGCTGCTCACTACATAAATTTTAGATAAATCATTTAACATTTCTTTTGTTTATTTGTTCTAATTAGTTACACAGGGCATCAGAATGCATTTCGGTTCATTGTATGCAAATGGAGCACAACTTTTCATTTCTCTGGTTGTGCAGGATGCAGAGTCCCACCATCTGTGCCATCGCATGTGTCCCCAGGTAATGAAGTCCTTCTCCTTCCACCATCTTTCCTACCCCCAGGCCCCTCCCCACCTCTCCCCCCTCTCTGCCCACTCCAAAGTTCTCTGAGGCCTTTTTTAAAGGACCTGGTTTTCTTTTCCTCTTCTCCCTCTCCTCCCCCTAACCTGAGTGCAGGGAAYAAGATTACCCTGAGTTATCTGTGCTCCACAGGAAGGAGATGTCTCCCAGAGGACCTAGAAGTGACAAGGAAATCCCAACACACCATCAGGGTGACATGGGACCCCCTTCTTTAGGGAAGCCTTTGAGTAGCTCTTTAACAGCTAGGTTTTCCCTGATGGTCAGACTCACGGCCTCAGGGCAGAGTCCCTGGTTTCTCCTTTTCGAGTAAAGCAATAAACCTTCTCTTTCCTTTTTCTGAAAACCACGTACTCATCATTAAATCGGCACGAATTAGCACTGGGGCCATATACTTCCCCTACGACCACTATGATCTAGTGCTTTCAACCCGAAATGTGAACTGGAGTCGCATCTTCCTGCCTAACTTTACTTATCACACATAAAATAGGGAAATCCACTCCATTTTCTTTAATTTTTCTAAAAAGTAAAAATAAGACTGTGGAATCACGAAGGTGGTAGTGGCTCTGGGCACAATTTTACGATTCGGAGTTCACCATGCTTGGACATTAACTTGGTGCTCCTTGGGATCRGGGCCAGTGGACCAGACCACACCTGCTGTTTGCAGCCCATGCCGCTAAGTTCTGCCCATTGGTAAGAGTTAGCTAGTGCGCGGAGTGGGTGCAACCCCTGAGGTGACCCTGTGGCTCAAGAGCCCTGCGGGCTGGAGCACACCCACACAGAACTGGGGTGGGGACTTGCTCCTCACAGTGACAGGCTGAGGAGGAAGCTGCTGGGAGCCACGCCACCACCCTCAGGCCAGCTACCCAGGACCCCCGGGACCCAGTGAAACAGAAAGGACTGGTGACCCTATAGGACTGACGGCAAACAGAGCAGTGACCAAAGGTGCAGTGACCCCAGAGAGCTGGCCCTAGGGAATGGCCTGGAAGACAATTTCAACCCTGCAGGTGGACAGTTTAGCCATCGGCACCTGGAAGAGGATGGGTTATCTGAAATCTGTGAACGCACACCGAGAGATCATTCTCTCTACAGCGCCTGCTGGGGGCTTTCTGGATTTTGGACTTTCTGCTTTAACTGCTGAAGTGGAGGGGAGGGACAGGAGTGAGGGGACAAAGGGAGCCGGCAGCTYGCAGGGCCGGAGGAGCTGGTGGAGGTCCACACAGAGTCTTAGAACACAACACAACTAGAGGGTGCAGAGCAGGAACTGGCTGAGTTCACGGTCGAGTCGGGRTAACCCAAGGTGTACCGCCATGGCCAGATGTCTGCCAGGACAGTCAGGGTGTGCAGGACGGGGGCTCTTGCCAGTCAGCAGAGCGGGGCTTCCTCAACACCTGCCGAATGCGGAGTCCTAGAGAGACGTGAAGTTTCACCACCATTCCTACGTTTTCTACATTTTGTGAACTTCTAAAAGGGCATGTTTTTTCATTAAAATAACCATATACAATGATATTAGGTCATCTGGATGACTCACTGATGGACACATGATCAGGGACCCTCTACAAAAGCAGAGTGAACAATGCTGCAGGAAAACTGGGTTTAAGGCTCAGCCTAGGAAGTAATGACATTCACAGGGATCGCTGCTCTGGGAACCTTCAGAGAAGAAACGCTGAATGTTTAAACATGTTAATTGCAGACTTATTTACACTAGAGTAATCCAAATGTCTCAGCAAATTATGATGTATGGACTCAGGTGCCACACAGTCACTCTGCTCAGTCTTGTGCGTGCACACACACACACACACAGGGCCCCAGGCTGCCACGTGCAGCTCCAGGCTTTTGACTTGGCAATGGTGTGGAAGTTCCGCCACATTCTGGCTCTCATTCCATCTTCTCCTGGGCTAGTGATGTGCGGCAGGATCCTCTCCTGATGCTTGGTGGCATCCATGAGCCTGGCCAAGGGCCTCTGGTCATCACCCTCCAGGGGGCTTGTGCTGGACCCTGGTGCCGCACAGACAAGGGGCACTGAGTGCATTTCCAGCTCATGATGGGCCTCAGGCCATGAGCATGTCAGAATCCAGGAGCCCCTGTGTCCACACACGCACAGGAATTGTGAGTTCTTTAGACGCCCAGTGTCGTGAGATCCGTGGCTGACAACAGCATGCAATGGGTGGATCCCACCTGTAGCCGGCAGGCCCACCTTTCAGTGCCCCTAGGTTTTAATGGTTATCATATGCGCAGTGTCACCACGTCTGACCCCAGCTGACGAGCAGCTGGAGAGCACACAGGAGTCAGTAGGCATGGCCCACTGTACCACGAAGCAGGGGCAGCTGTTGATGCGGAGCGACTTGCTAACCCGGAGCTTTCTTTGGATAAGTGGCCCTGGGAATCAGTATGGAGACCAAAGACAAATTGGCAACCAGAGAATGAATGTGTTTACCCATGTGTGCACACGTGTGGTTTGTCATCTTGAAATACCATTTATAACAAGGGTCTAATTGCAAAGTGGGTGTTCCAGTGCTGCTTTGGGCAAAGCTGGGTTGCACACAGGACTACTGAGTCGGCTGCCCAGCGCCCTCCAGAAGGGTCTCCTGCAGAGGTGATGACTAGAGGGCCGGCCCTCAGCACGGTTAGTTGGAGCTCTCACATGGTACTTGAAAGACCAGACGCCCAGAGGACCTGCTAGTGAGCGTGTACGGGACGCCAGAGCGTAGGGCCAAGTGCAGGCCTGTCTCGCTCGCCCTGACGCATGCACCCAGCCCCCCCATATCTCTGTTCCCCTGCTGTGCTGCTCCCCAGCCACCCTGACCCAGCRCACCTCGGAAGGCCACAGGAGGCTGTTCCTGCAGCAGGGCCACATGTCCTAGAGAGAGGCGTATGGCTGAGATTGCTCTGCAGACCAGTACACTCAGACGGTGCGCAGAGTCCAGGCTGGGCTACGACCTTCAGCRATGTTCCTGCCTGGGACAGGGGCTGGCCTACCAGCACCAGCTGCTTGCTTCACATATCGATGTTCCTGGGTGTCTCCAGCATTCCAACAGCTCCATGGAGCTTCCTCTTTGAGACCCAGTATCTTTCTTTTCCATAGCCCCAAACTCATTTCTCAAAACTACATTAAGTATAATATGATCTTCAGTGGAAAACTTTGCTCATGACTTAGCGGTGCCGTGGAGGTGCCCCACAGACATCAGTGACCACACATAGTGAACCGGGAGCTGGTGATGGGCATTGCTGGTATGCATCCACAGCAGGCAGTGGGGTTCGGCACAGACATCTGCAGAACACAGTTCTAGGCAAATGAATACACGCAGTCTCCTATCTCCTTGTGCAGTTTGTGGGGTGAGTAACTTCACTGCAGAGAAGTTCATGTCGGGGTATGTGAACCTGGAGCAGAAGGCCCAGGCCTTGCACGGTCCATGTCAACAACCAGGTTGAGGTGGAGCATGCACTTCCGGCTTCTCGCCCATGAGGCTCTTCATCACAGCTGTAGGCTGCTCTCCTAGTTACTCAGGAGTGCTCCTTCTTTTCTTGATGGCATGTGCGTCACGACTGGCTGCCCGTAGGATATCTCACAGGTACAGTATCCCCACTCCCGCCATTTGCCATGGCTACRATGACATGCTCTAAGGGAGAGCTGYAAGCTTGTAATCAGAACCAAGTCCCCAGCTGCCTGCTCTACAAAAAGGTGGTTTAGTTGCTGCTCCTGAAGGGAAAATTGGTGTCCATTCAACAGCCCACTTCCCATAAACCTGATTCACACAGAACCCAAAGCTTTGGGACTGTAGTGGTGAATATCAAATTTACCATAACCTATTGTCTTCTAAAAATGACGTATGTCTGGCACATATCTATCAAAAGCAGGACGAAAAGAGTAGACCTCTGGAAAGCAAAGTTTTTTTTGTTTTTTTTTTTACTTTCTATGGCTAAAGTACTTAAAATCACCTTTAAGACTGTCAGCACTGGACAGTTCCGTCCCCAGGATGTAAGTGCTTTATAAAGCAGGGAGAAAAACAGACACAGAGACTCAATATGTCCAAAGACAGAACCACCAAACACAAAGGAAATGAGACCCAAACTGTTAGTGCATCAAACCTTCCCAAGTATTATCAAATCTAAGTTCCAATCAGCCATGCTAGAGCCATGAAACAAGATGGCATCCAGAATTGTAACTCCCAAAAGGAATCCTTCATGTGGGTCTGGGAAAATAACTTGGTATCTGCACCCATCAGTCTCGGCCATATTCACGTCAGGGGTTTAAATCTTGAGTGGCACRGTGACAGGGAGCCCTGTGGTCATCCTTCACTACCTTCTGCTCTTTGGACCGCCGTCCATTCAGCTGGGAAGCACTTCCGTGGTCATCTGTTTTGCAGCTCTTGAGTTGGGAAGGGGGCACGTGAACTTCACAAACTTAACAAGGTTCCTTACAAGTCATTTAACTTCAAGACAGCTGTGTCAAAATGTTTTTGACCTTTACATGGTCATAAATAAATGACAAGGCTGAAGAATATGGTGCACGGCCCAGACATCATTGAGAATGACAAGAATCATCTGTGAATGGCAGGCAGCAGCTGCCTGATCCATGCATCATACTGTGGGTTGTTAATTAGGACCGTAGCCGATGAATCTTAACTGGAAGCTGGAAATGTCTATGTGACCTACAAATCAGAGCTGTCACTTTCCCAGGCTACACATTTTATAAAATAACAGATACTAGTAAACGATCTAATTACTCTCTGTTAGATATAATAGTCTACCAGAAATTGGGACACCCCAAATTTATGTTCTTGTTTTTTTTTAATGGATTTTATATCTCTCACTTATAACTCTCATTTGTAACAAYGATGTTTTTAAGTGATTTTTGTACTCAGCTCAGAGTTGGGTATCAATCAGAAGGTGYTTATCTTCCATGGGGACTCACAGATCCACATGTCCAAAGGCCACAGGACATCCAGGAGCTCGGCAGACAGGTAGCTGACTCTGGAGAGGGCCTGAACTGACCCCAGGGGGCCCCACTGCAGGTRCAGGCTAGAAACTTCCAGATGCTCATGAAGCAAGAGGGAAGGGATACAGGTGGCCTTATGGCACCTCACCTATGTCCTAGGGCTAAACCTAGGCAATTTCTAAAACAGGAACCCACTGCAGTGGACCTTTGATCTAGGCAATTTCTACATGTATATTTTTGGTGGAATTTGTTTGCAAACTACTATTTTAACTCTTTTCAAGTTAAAATAACCAGTAGCTTTTGGAATTATGTTTACATAGCTACCTGGAAAACATCAAGAGAAAACCAACAAAATTCTTCACATTCCTTTTAACTATGCAGTTTAGAAATTATTTGAGATAAGCAAGTTTGAAAACTACATGGCAAATCGTACTAGAAAGGGAACACATATTTGAGTTTTTGTGGTATTGTTAAGGGAAGAAAAGAGGAATGTTGAATACAGAATTAGAAATATTCAGAATGGAAATGACTTCTCAAAATTGTTTACTGTCAATTGAAATAGACCAATTAAGTGGTAGCTAATAGTTTGAAATATATAATTGTTATACTTTTCTTATTGGCTCAGATTTTAAGATGTTAATTAAAAATGAGATTTACCTGTGATAATCTAGTTTAATATGATGATCAGGAATAAAATGCTATTAATAAAATGCRATTAATTAATTAATTACTTTATTTAGTTTTGGGTACCAGGGATTGAACTCAGGGGTATTTAACATCTGGGCCACATCCCCAGTCCTTTTTTTTTTTAATTTTCAAACTGGGCCTTTCCAAGTTTCTTAGGGTCTCGCTGATCTGCTGAGGCTGGCTTTGAACTCACTATCCTCCTGCCTCAGCCTCCCACACCATTGGGATGACAGGTGTGCACCACCTTGGCCAGAGAAATGCTTTACTTTAACAGAATCGACTTCAGTAGGAACTGAGGAGACGTGGGGAGAAGTGAAAACAACAGGAAGGAGAGGTGCGTTCACACGGAGGACCCCTCACTTCCCACCTATGTTACCACAGTAAGGAGGACACAATTTTAAGAAAAAGGGAAAAAAGCTTAATTGTTTTGCCAGTAAAAGAGAAGCMTAGGGAACTCCGTCCCAGAGGCTGTGATTCTGCCCGTGAGCAGGAACAGGGGTTTTTAAAGAAATGATTCATCTACCCAAAGTACCTGCATGAAGTCACAGAGGGTGGGACTCTGTGCTGTGAACCACCAGAGACAGGAAAAAAACTGCTGTGTGTGGGTCCTAGGAACTGAAATGCGTTCTGCTCTCATGTTCAACAAATTAAGTAAATAAATAATTTTTTTAAAAAAGAAGTGATCCAAAGCCTCTTCCAGGTGCTCTCTGTTGGAGTTGTAATTCACTTGGGAATTTGGGAGATGGTCATTTCTGAGATCTCCTGGTGCCCTCCCCGAGTCTGAATCACTGAATGTATACATCATGTAAGTGGCCTGCAGACCTTCTCTAGGTTCTAAAGACTTGTTTTAAAATACAAAATGCTGCCTGAAGGGGCAATGATTTAAGCCACAAGACATTTACATAGCAATGCCATATGGGAGGACTCTAAATTTCTACTTTCAAATTTTTAAAAATCTTTTCATTGGTATTCACTCTGCCACTCCCCTGCCCCTTTGCCTCAACTTCATGAGGAGGAGACCTCTGATCAGAGTTTTAGGTGCTTTGGAAATGAGGAGGGCCACACTCAGGGCCCATACCACACTAGAAATGACCATAAGATCCCTTTAAAACAAATTCAACAAGGCAGCTGCAGCAGAAGAAAATGAGATTTGATGTCTCCACCAAACTGTGAAAATATGTCAACTAAGTCAAGCAGGCCCCATGCCACAAGGCAGGGCAGGGGCCGGGACCTCAGCTTGAGGACAGTGCACCAGAGCAGAGCGGCCGTCCATGCTGCTGTCAGTAGGCAGGGCGTGGCGTCTGCAGCTCCTGGAACCGCCCTGRACTTGCTGCAGTCTTTCTGTTTGTSTTTTGAGGGTGGCCGAGTCTCACTAGGACAGTGTGTGTGGACTTACACATGGATTTTAGGTGGGCATAGGTAAGTTTGACGGGTGGACAACAAGCCCAGGGCGCAGCCAGGAGAAAGGTTGCTGCCACAGCACCTCACGGCCTCTTCCTGATCAAGTGCACTTGTGAGGTGTGTGTGTGTGTGTGTGTGTGTGTGTGTGAGAGAGAGAGAGAGAGAGAGAGAGAGAGAGAGAGAGAGAGAACAGTCTGCATATACTTGGAGCACTGTTGGGAAAGATCTGGAGAGACATGCTGTAATGTGGCAAGAGAGGCCACACCCAGGGCCTCAGAAGGCAGGTGACACATGCAGGCCCAGGCCACCTGCAGCAGGAGCAGGAGCACTCGTCCTTCCCAGAAGAGGAAAATCAAAACGGGTGCCCGTGCAGGTGGACCACAGCCACTTTGTGAGGGGAAGTTGCTTTCTCTCTGAGGTTGTCCATGTGCATATGTGGCTGTGTGCATGTGTGTGCATGCTCATGTGCGTTTAAGTACATGCACATACGTGTGCACACATATGTGCATGTGTACATGTGTGCACACATGGGCAGGTTTGCATGTGCATGAGTGTGGGTGTGTGCACGTGTGCCATGTATGTGTTTGAAATGTGAGGGTGTGCATATGTGTGAATGTGTGTGTGCACGTGGGTGTGTGCAAATGCCTTTCCAGTAAGAAGTGACGCATCTGCCAAGGAAAGTGACAAAACAAGCTGGGAGGTGCGTGGCCTGTGGGGTCTGCTGAAGCCCGGCAGGTCCCGGGGGAAGCCTCCGTTCCCTCCCCAGGAGACCAGCCTATGCCTCAGTGTGGGGAGAATGAGGTCCACACTTGGACACGGAATCCAGCCTCCTTCCGTAATTAGACATTAAAGCTGTTCCGAG